GCAACATTACAGGTCCTCCCTGCATCTTCCACTAGGTGGGTGTCCATGTACTGTCCTCCAAGGCTGATCCAGAAGCTGCGTGAAAAGTTGCCATGGCTATGGTGCAGCTGATTGATAGAAGAATCATCTTGAAATACTGTCATCCAGAAAGAGAGAGAGAGAAACCTCTATACAAGAAGGTAAGCTTTCAGAGAGATGAGGTCCAGCACCTTAGGACACTAGCAAAAAAAAAAAAAAAAAAGTGAAGCTAGCTGGCAGTGCAAAGTGTTATAAAGTGATGTCCTAGCAATTGTTTTTTTTGCCAGTGTCCAATTACCTAAAAGGTAGCTGCATATAACCATTTTTAATGGCTATAGAGCCTGTGTTCTATACTGTACACAACTAAAAAATGTTTTTAAACCACCAGGCCGTGCCAAATCTGTGACAAAAATGACAGTCACTTTGTGCAAGTTCCGACCATCCATGTGAAGCAAGGATTAACGATAAACATAGGAAAATCACACACAAACATTCCAATGCACAATCATAGCTTTTATCCCAGCTGTCTCTTCCTGAGCTACTAACACAGTACATGGTAGATACAATCTGACTGTCAAAAGATCTTTTTTCCAAACCTGCACATTCAGCTAAATGTGCACATTTATACCTGTTGAGTAGGTAAGGGAGTCTCTCAGCCAACAACAATTGCAGGGTCAATAGGCTTCTAAGGAGGGGTCGGTGATGCCTGACAAGGTCAAGTGCTGCATATGACTAACTGGCAAATGTGATCCCAAGTCTACAGGCATCTTTATCCACGTAGATATTTTCTGGGGTAACAAACACAGTCTAAATTTAAGCAGACAATATATGAATGACCCATTCCTGACTGATGTTTGACTTGCCTCAGAACTCAAAAAGAAATTTGTTTGCTGCAGTGAAAGAACACTATATTTTGGAGATTTGTAAAACACAATAGGGGATATTTATAAAGCAAGTTAACACAATTAGGCACAAATCAGGCTGACACATTAAGTCTGTGTGACAGTTTTTCAGTGTGTTTGCGTCCCCTGGCATCAGGATTCCTGGGCAGTCAACTGACACAGATTTGTACAGGTCTGCAAAAGATTTAGCAATGAAGAGACAGATTCTCTTTCAAACATGTCTATTCACGTAAATGGAACTTTGTGGGTACCAAATATTATACATATTTTATTATTATATGGATATTAAGAGTAATAATGATTAAAAGTTCAGTGCCACGTGGCATAAATACAAAAAGACTGCTATAACATATACTTGTCCTTTAGACAATTTTACCAGTATGCGTACGGTTCTGCAAATCAGGGATAGCACACATGGTACACTACACACACGTACTGGTAAAATTACATAAGTGCTGTAAGGTTGAAAAAAAAAAATCCTGAATTATAACTTCTATAAGATTGCAGTTTCTCTGTACTACCAGTGTAAGTATGTAAATCCCTATTTCCCAAAGAAGCTAAATGAGAAAAGCACTGAATCCAGCCATCTCTTCACCATATGAATAAAGTTATATCTACATGTAATCAAGTGCTCTGATCCCAAATGGGCTGTGAATATATACTTAAGCAGGGAAGGTCAGAAGTTTGCCATCAGGGAAAACATATGCTCCAGCAAGTGGCAATGAACTTTTAAGTGCTATTACTCTTAGAAATTTTTTTTACATACAGTAGTTTATATGGCCCCCAGAAAGTCCTATTTGAATAGACATTTAAGTTTGGAAATTACAAAGGATGTGTCATAATGATCACCCATCAATCCAATCTAAGTTTTGTAAAAGACTTTTACTCTGAACTGATGTACAATGAAGGAATGGTCAGGGGCGTGTTTTATTCTGTCATAGTGTTACTTTAGCCCAGCTAAAGGAGGAATTTATGAATGAAACTGCACTCATAGCAAACCTCTCTTACAATTCATTTTTGCCTGGCTGTGCAACAGAAATCAGCTGCACTGAAATCCAAGACACCGATGACGTCTCCCCTGCTGGACTACAGAACAGCTCTCCCTCCCTATATATAATATAAGGGGTGTGTTCTGTAGTACAACAGGAGAAAAATGGACAGGACTAATAACACTGCATGAGATTTCAGATTAGTATAAAAATGTGCGTGTATTTCAGAGATGTACTGAAAATATGTCTTTTGTTTTGTTTTTTTTGCAGAGACATACACTTAATAAGCCTGAAACATTTGCCCTCCAATACTTGACTAAGGTAATCCCAATAGACAAAGTACATCTAAACCCAAAAACTAAACTTTAAATATATTGCAGCATATCAGTCTTTACAGTTTTGTAGTTTTCTTCAAGCTTTTTTCTATATAATAAGTGAAGTGAACTTCTGCGCCTACCAAGTGATAAGCAAGGTGATAGATGCAAAAAAAAAAAAAAAAAAAAAAAAAAAAAAACTTTGTGACTGCTGCTGCTCACATCAATTGTATTCCCACAACAAACAAAATTACATAGATAAATGATGTAGTGCTGCTTAAATATTAAATAAACATCAATTTGACATTATAAACAACCAAAGTGAATCCACAGTACTCATAACAAAAAATTATATAAATGATTAAAGTGCTCCAAACAAATGCATAATGTTCATAAATATCCAGATATATCGCGATCCAACACCATAGATGCAAATCCGTGCTTAATGTGGATTTCATGCATTAATTAGTGCCACTTCTGTGCTCTCAGAACTCTCACCTCCAAGGCATGTAAACTGCGTGTGTTTAATGAGACATCTCCACTGTAGGTCACTATCTCCTTTTAGCCACTAGGGGCTGTCCACTCTTCCTCCCATGCAATGGATATTTTAAGGTAGCCTTAGAAATCTTCAATTTACTGGATACCAGTAACCTCACCCAAAAGAAAAACCGCCTCATATAGTGTAGTAGTTGAGTAAAACCTCAATATTTTATTAAAAACACACTTCCATTCTGTTTAAAAAAAGATGTGCTTTACAGATCGTAAAACACATCTATTTTAAAACTACACAATTATGAGGCGTTTTTTTTCTTTGGGGGAAGTTACTCACTAAACACACAGTTTACATACGCTGGAGGTGAGAGTTCTGGAGCACAGAAGTGGCACCAATTAGTGCATGAAATTCACATTAAGCACAGATTTGCATCTATGGTGTTGGATCGCGCTATATCTGGATATTTATGAACTTTACACATTTGTTTGGAGCACTTTAATATTCATTTATATAATTTTTTTGTTAATGTATGATATTTGCATCAATTCATATATTTTATTATTATTATGAGCACTGTGGATTCACTTTGGCTGTTGATAATGTCAAATTGATGTTTAATATTTAAGCAGCGCTACATCATTTATCTATGTAACTTTTTCCATATAATTTCACCCGATGAGCCTGCCAGTTAAGCTGGCCATAGACAAAGCGATTTCCTTTCCTGCAACCGCTGGTTGTAGGAAAGAAAATTGCTCAATTTCCCCAGAAGGAGCTGTCCCCGCCAGGAGAACACAGTGAGAACTGCTAGCAGCTACAATGGCAGCTAGCCATAATTGCATGTAAAATCCGATAGGCTGGTTATCAACTTGGGTACAACCTGCCCATACATGGTTCAAATCTTGGCCAGTCCCTGCTGAATGGCCAGCCTAACACATTTACAACTCAGCTCACTCACTGCACTGTATCTGTGGGAAAGCAGCATTGTCACCCTAGGCAGCCTTTATGAATTGAACTACAAATGCCTCCCTCTCTCCTCAGTCTCCATTATATAGGAAGGAGGTGTCCTGAAGTTCACACAGATAGGTGGGAAGGTCGATAAGATTGTTGATATTTCAGTTTACTGATAAGAAGTTACAATGCCATAAGATCCCTTGCAGGATTACCAGGTATTTCCTTTACTTGCAGAAAATGTACTTATCTTGAAAAGGAAAACAAATACACGTCACCTCAGCTAAGTACCGGTAAGCTGTAACATCTAAAATTTTGTTCTTGGGTTTAGACCTTAACTTCAACAACAATTTGGGAGACCCCAAAACTATTCAAGGTGGGGGATCATCTTTGGGTCAAAACAGGAAGGCCTGAAAAAAATGACTCGTTCGAAATATTAGAGAATAATTATTATTACAAACCATAATTCATAGGATTAATATTAGATTCACAAGGTACATGAGATCATTTCATTAGCGTACCAGAAAAATTTAGAAGCGTCAGATTATAAAACTCTTCTGACAAACCAACAAGATCGATATGGCAGGGGGATTTTGCAGACAGGCTGCACAGTATTATACATAACTATGAATAATAATAGAGAAGAGAAGGAAGGTCACAATCAATCATGCAGCAGACAGTATTGTATACCCGCCCATTTTATATATCTCCAATATTAAATTATTAAGGATCACACTCATTCATACGGCAAGAACAACTTTATTCTGCCGTGTGTCATACAAGCTTCAAGCCCAGGTCCACCATGAAATCAGAAGGGCAGCCACATTTTGTCCCATCGTCCAGAACCATTCCCGTTCAGTACAGAATTTTCAGGATAATTATTAGGGAAGCTTTGCTTGTCATTTGTCTCTTCACACAAGAGATGTTAAACACACCAACACCAGAAGGACAGGAATTCTTCATAAGTCAAGGAACTTTTCAACTGATACACCATGCCACTCCCACGCACAACTTCCTGTTTCTCCTCTGCAGATCAGAAAACTCCATAAAGGGCTTAATTTAAAACAGAAAATAAAATAAAACTTGGTACAGGAGGATAACAATAAGTTGCCAACGTAGCTGAATTCCAACACTTCGACCCTTTTACTGTCAGAGGCTTGATGGCAACGAAAGGAATAAACTGCGCTGGGCTGAGTTAGTGTTGCACTAAGCAGGTTCAGCCCCCAAATATCACAAGATGAGGAGAGATGGAGGGACAACACTGACTTGACGGGATCCAGCAAAAAGTGATCCACTCACTGCCTTAGCCCTGCTGTTGGCCTTGGCCCTCCCCCCTTTATCTGGTGTAGTACACTCTGTAGTAGACAGACTTTGACCTCCACAAGGAGTAAGAGTTGTCAAATTTCAGCAGGTAGACCCCCCTGCCAGGGTACTGGTGACTTCCGGCGTAAACTTCTTCATGACAATCCCGCCTGTATACCGGTACTATTTCATCCACCTGAGGCTTGTTGGAATTCTTCTTGGTTTTCTCTTCACTGTTCGGGTTTTCTGTGTGAAGAGGAGAGGATTAGCCAAATACTTTGATGGTGAAGATTTTTTACTAAATCAACATCATAGAGGCAAATTAATAGGGATATCCAAAAAAAGGTTGATTTCCTTAGTAATGTCTACAGTTTAAACACTACAGAATAGTATGTGAATAACTGATCGGATAGTTGGGAAGGATTTTTCTGACCCACCCACTCCCCCACGTGGCAAAATTGGCAGCAGTAGCCAAGAGGGATTTGGTTTGGGCTTTTTAGGATCAATTCAGTGGCTACATTTGCCAATGATGATTATTTTTTTTCAGCTCTTCTTGGTTGTGACAGCTCAAAATAACAAGATTTTTGACTTGCTATAAATTCTTTTCCTTGGAGTTCATTAAGGAACATAGAAGTCTCAGAAGAAGTTCTGAGAAGTATAGGTTTTACTACCATCTGCAGAATTGGACAATGGCAACAAAAAAAAGCTGTTAGCTAGTATATAGTTAATTGCGCACTGACCATCTAATCCCAGCGTTTCAGTGCACCCAGAAGAAACATGCGCAGTGTCCAGCACCACTGTTTGAAACCTGTCAAAGTCTATAAAAGGCTGAAATATGCTGTTGCTGGACAGGACTGAACACCATACTCCAGTGGCACTGGAATTTAAGACCCTATGCGTTCAGGGACACATGCCTGGAATGTAGAACACCTGCACTCTGGGCATATCTCCTTGAACATATAGGGCCCTAAACTCCCAGTACTGCTTGATGTAGCAAGCCCTGTTCAGCCCCAGTGTATTTTAGCCTGCCATAGACTTTGACAGGCTGCAGGCAGTGGGTCCTGTGCCTCCACAGTGCACTAAAATGTCAAAAGGCCTAACTCCTCCAACTCCCATTATGCTTCAGTATCATGCAAAACAGTAGTAGGAGTGATCATAAAATAGGGGTGGGACCTGTGCCCAAGAAAAGGATTTGACAGATATTCAAATCTTTCATTAAAGGACACAGTGTCCAAAGGAATTCTGAGATGTATCGAAAGTAAAAAGCAATTCAACTGAGGGGTAGGCAATTAAAAGGTTAATAGGGCCACAAAAAACAAAGTAAAATTTAGGGTTGTTTGCAGCTCAAAGTGCTGTCGGAAGGTCCTCACATACGAAGCTTGCAGAAGATGAAGCCCAAGCATCTACCTGCTAAAACTTAGAGAACGTGTTAAAAAAAAATCTAGGTGACAGCCTTTCAAAGAGACAAACACTTAAAGTATAGGTTCACCTTTTGCAAAAAAAAAAAAAAAATATGATCTTTTTTTGCAGGTAACAAAATGTGCATTTATTATTTTTGTCTGCAGGAGCCTGTAAAGCATTGCACCAGCGATCAGTAGATCGCTGGTGCTATGCAGGTCTCCTGCAGATCTGTCAGTATATCTGCTTGCCCGTACGGGATGTAAAAGCATACAGATATACTGACAGGAAGATTCAATGAACTACCACGGTGCTCCAGAGCGCCGTGGTAGTTCATTGAAAACTACAAACTGACAGCTGCCAAGGCTGTCGGGACTTGTAGTGCATTAATTCACGGAACTCTGAATGAATGAAGTGGCTGTGTGGGCAGAGCCCCGCTGTTTTGATATCTGACAGACCGTATTATTATTATACATGATTTATATAGCGCCAACAGTTTGCGCAGCGCTTTACAATATAAGGGAGACAGTACAATTACAATACATTTCAGTACAGAAGGAACTTCTCCCCATACTTCTGTCAGAGGGAGGGGGGAGCAGCGGCTGCAGCATTGGGAACATGTTACATGAAAACATAAACATGTTCCCAAACTGATCCTTTAATGCCAAAAGGCCCAGGAGACACTTACTGATATAGTGGAGTGTGACCTGACGGAAAAAGGTTGAAGCTTGTTCTTAAGCCTTTAGGCCTGAATGATTAGCTGCCTAATTCACTCTATGGGAAACCGCAGGAAAAAGACAAGTCAGCGAGCCTGAAAAAATACACAGCTGAAACGTAAACTCTTAACAGCTCCCACCACATTCAATAATGGAGCAAAACCTTCTTGGGGTGTACAGAACAAGGACAGAGATGGTAGAACAATGTCTTGAAGATTATTCGATGGATCTAATTTCAAACAATTTAACAGGGACCGCCTTCTGTCGAATGAAAAGGTTGGAAAATTTTAATTTGATCAGCAACTGCAGCACTGATCAGTCTATTCTGACAGAGGAGTACCACCTGTTGTCAGAACACAATAGCACAGTGGCGAGGATTCCTCCATCCAGATCGGTTGTGTGGATGGGGAAGTTCATTATTTATTTTTTTCCAATTAGCCCACTGGTTGATTGAAAACAAAAAATAAAAAAAACGACCTAACTATGGGCAGCCTAATGAAGAAAGAAGGCCTCAGATCTCTAGGCAACCTTGTCCTTGTTGTAGGACTCAACAATAGCGAGCCACTAACTCTGAAATGCACCTCACAGAAGTGAATGCAACAAGGAAAACAACTTTGTGAAACAGTGTTGACCGTGAAATATCCCAGAGAGGTCCAAACAGTACCCATTGAAGAGCTGAAAGAACCAGGTGACCAACACCCTGTACAAAGATAGACACCAGGAAATGTGATGCAAGCAGTCTTCAAATTAGAAAAAAAAAAAAAAAACAGCCAAATGTTGATCCAGACCGCATTGGAGAAAGGTTAAGATGTGTTCCTTGAGTCCCTGAGATGAAGTTTCCATGCCTTGCACGATACAAAGTGCACTTTCTAAATCTAACTATAACCTTGAGGGAAGTAAATTTCCTAACTTGTAGGAGGGTAGGAATAACCAAATCAGATAGTCCACTGTCTCTGAGAACCTTGGCTTCAACAGGCAAGAGGCCACAGAGTGTCTTGCCAGGAGTCTGATCAGGTCAGTGTTTCTCAATCTTTTTCCACTCAGGTCACTCATGAAAAGTATTTTCAGTTTCAAGACACTGCAGTCTAAGGCTTAGTTCACATTACTGGGTGTCAGGGAACAACAACCTGCGTACATTCCCAACATGCAGAGAAACGTGCTCTTTAGCAGATACGCAGGGGTGCCATAAGGTCTTAAAGGTGCCCCTATGCAGTCTGCTGCTGAACCTCGAAGCCAGGGGGTACACATATCTAGTGTTTTCCCCCTGTGACACCAAGCCATGGATAACCTGGTCCAGGGTGCACAGCCACAAACTATACCTTCTTGTTCCATGGTGCCAGAATGTTGTGTTGCAACTCTTTGGGAGTGAAATTGGGCAAAGACTACCATAAAGGAGGCAATCATCAAGCCCAGAACTTGTAAAGCAGAGAATATGGAGGCTCCTTTACAGTAGAGTACAAAAATAGGAGCGGAGAGTCAGAAGGTTTTCCTGCGGAAGGAAAGCTCTGAACTGAGCAGTATTTAGAAGATAACCTGGATATTCCAAACAATGAATTGGTTCCAGCACTGCCTTCTGGAAGTTCAGGATTCAAACACACTTCTGTAGAGTTTGAACAATTTGTTGGACATTTGACTGATAAAATCTGCGCCCACTGTTCTCGCAAGAGGTTGTCTAGAAATGCCACAACTGGAATATCAAGCTAGTGAACCAAAGTAAGCACAGGGGCAAGCGCTCTGGCAAGTATGCTTCAAGTCAAGAATAGGATGTATGCCCCTAGGTCTACTTTAAACTTGGGAAACTTAAATAGGTTAAAGAAGAAGCCATGATCCTGCTGGATTAGCAAAAATTTGAGGCATGGGTGATCTTGTTGGCACCATCTGGCTTGACAACATTTTCCACTTAACCTTTCTTAAAGTAGTTCTAAAGGCTCAAGGCTTTTTTACCTTCATGCATTCTCCATTGGCTCCCACTGCTGTCAATCAGGTAATCGAGCCGCAGCTCTATGTGTCTAATAAACACGTAGAGCATTGGCTTAGGGGATGAGCACGCAGCAGTGCCCCCAGTGCGAGCGGCTTTCCTTGGGGGCACTGCTCGAAGGGGAGGAGCCATAAGCACCACCTGGAACCGAAAAGAGGAGGATCGCTGCTGCTCTGTGTGAAACCACTGCAAAGAGTAGGTAAGTATAGACATATGTTTATTTAAAAAAAAAAAAAAAATGAAGCTTTAGTGTCACTTTAAGGGAGACAGGTGGAAAATTGTTTGCCAATCAGACGCAGTCACTGTTCAGGTATTCCCAACAGCCGCAGGTTCCAACTGTCAGAATACAACAGCTGGCAGGGGAGATTCCAGCATCCACACTGTTTAACATTGATGGGGGAATAGATTAGATTTTCTCTCAATCAACCCATATGTGACTAGCTTTAGTAAACAACTCTTCCAAAGGCTATTGCTCTGCAAAACACTTGGGAGAAAAGAACAATTAGTCAGAATCAGACCAGTCACCATACAAAACCGGTTGCAATAACGAGCATACTGGGAATTTTTAAGGGAGCCCGATCCTTTGAGAATGTTGCGCCAGTACTAAACACTTATGCATTGTGACAATAAGCACTAATAAGGTTCCTTAAAGCCTAAAGCAGACTATATATTAGTCTTGAAATGACTTGAATATGTGGGATTAGGCATTATTCCCACTGAGCTATTGTGTTCTGACAGTGGGAAGACTTAACCTCCTCAAAATACAATGATCCAATCGAGCGGCATTTATCAGATGGGCTGGTTCTACAGAAGCCGATCAGTAGATCAACTTCTGTACATCCAGGGTGCCCATACACGAATCGAAATTCATCTGGTCCCTCCTGAACCGGTCGAATTCCAATTCATGTCTGGGAGGCTTCAGAGTAATGTCTTTAGGCAGAGCCTGTTCAAGCATAAATGTGGCTGAAGGGAGAGACTTCAGGACTGCTTCCTATGATCGCACTAACACAAGTATGTAAAATTTGAAAGTTCGCACAGGAGCACTTACCCACCAACTGCAGGAGCAAGAGAAGTTACTTTGCCAACAGTGACCTATTCACTGTGAGGAAAGAGAAAGAATAGATCGTGTAGGGCCCTTGAAGAGGAGCAGTGAGGCTTACAGTAAAGGTGGAAGGGCAGAGCTAGTGCAAGCACACGATACAGCCCCACTCAATAGCTAAGGTGCCTGCAACACATCCAGAAAGTGGCACAGCACCCATTTCTGCCAAGTACCTAAGACCAGAGAATCTTCAGGTACAGGCTATTACCAGAGGTAATATCAGGGTCCTTGACCTGTACAGTGCTCTGTGGCCAACACATTACACTTGGTGACCTGGAAAGTGCCACATCCAAAGGTCACAATAATAGGCAAAGCACGCCCCACATTATCTCCGTGAAGGGTCCAGGTATGGCCTTCAAGGAAGTGAGAAAAGTTAGGTATCTTGCAACTGTAGTAAACAAAGAATATTGACTGAAGAGAAAATATCTTTAAAAGAAAAAAAAAAAAAAGTCAAGCAAAATGGGCTTGATTTTCTGAGAAGAGAAGACGTCCATTTTTCTAGGACACTATCAGGAAACTGAAGCATGATGGGAGTAGGAGAGGTTATTCAGGCTAACAGCTTTTTTGTAGCCAGTGTCCAAATCTCTTGTAGATGGCTGTATGACCCATACGTCTCAGGAATCCTTCTGACCTTGTGTCCCTTAATGAATAAGCATATAGTCATGTAAAAACTGAAATCAAAGGCAAACAAGCAGAGAAAAACATTACAGCTGAATTACACAATCTGTTAAGGGATCTGTATTTCTGTCTAGCTGGTCCTGAGTTTCAAACAGCACAAACTAGGTTGATGACCTGTCAATTCTGTACTGCAGTACAGCCTGGTCATCCACTTGTGCAATCTGTTCTCTCCTCCAGTTCGCATGTTCCTTATTGGTCAGGCTCCTAGTTCTGCCCTCCCTACTCCCAGACAAGTGCTACTGCCTAAGGGATTACAAGAGGCTCATACCAAATCAAATTAAAGGTGCTTACACTAGTGGCATCTAAAGTGTTCTTAAAGTGGTTATAAGCTTCAGGTTGTTTTTACCCTAATGCATTCTATGCAAGAAAGTAAAAAAAAAAAAAAAAAACCTGTGTGCAAATTCCCCCAAAGACCCCCTCCCCCCCCCCACCTTCAATACATACCTACATACATTCCAGCACTGTATACGAGAGAAGTGTTTCTCCTAGGTCTCTACCTCCTTACTGGCTGAGATACAGCAGCGGGAGCCAAGGGCTCCTGCTGCTGTCAATCATAGCCAGTGAGGAGGGAGCGGGGCTAAGTCGTACTGTGTGTCTTAAAGACACAAAGAGGCGGCTTTAGAGCGAGCATGCACGAGTGCCCCTAAAGTAAGCAGCTTGCCCTAGAGGCATTCAGCAAGGGAGGGGGGGGGGGGGGTACAGAGCAGGTAAGCATGACATTTGTAATAAAAAAAAAAAAACAAAAGAACCTTTAGAGGAAACAGAGGTAACCTATTCCAGCAGTGACAGGTCCAGCCTTCAGTCATCAGATCCAATACGATCTTTTTTTGGCCACTGATGAACTAATCCCTGCATATGCAAGTAGTAGTTACATCTTCCCCTGAACCTAGTTCCATTCTATTCTCAGCATGCCAAGAGTAAACCTGAATATAAACTACACTGTGAAATGATGGTGGAAACCTCCTGCGCTTAAACCTAAAAACCTTTATCTAGTCTAAATAACGGAAGCTGCTAGCATCCAAATGATTCAAGATATAAAAATACCAAAGTGATGCAGCGCTACTCTGATGAGAATATTGGTAACACTATATCAATAAACATATAAATGAAAAAAAAGTGTATAAAAGTGACACAATGTGCAACAAAAACAAACAGTGACCTGATCCTCCAGGGATCTATAATAAGATATCTATAACACAGATCCTTTGAAGGGACGTAATGAATCACTTCTGCCTCCACAATGACTTGTGGAGGCAGAAGTGATTCATTACGTCCCTTCAAACTGCTGTTGACAGTGTGTTCCTGCACTCACTTCCTGGGGTCTCGATGGCTTGGCCTCTCAACTTTTTGGTCTACAGGTCTCAATGAGTAATATTGGCGCTTACCATATGATTTACCTGGAGAGGATTCTACTGCTTATATGTACATCCCTGGGAGTGAGATCGCTGAGGGGAGAGATATCCAGGAGTAGAGGAATCATATACATGGAGGACCTGTGTTAGTGATCCAAAAAGTGTTTTGACCCCTTGCGTGTCAAAGCAAGAAGGTGAGCGGCCAATTCGGCTTTTGACGGATACCCTTATGTGATTACTCACATACACCATCCACGAGTACAGTAGTGTAGTGCCACAATTTGGACTTTTTTCACTAGTTTTCCACTTTATTTGGAGTCATGCGTTTGCATATTATAGGTTCACATTTGTTCAAAGTATTGAGTGTGTTTGATTTGTGCATACATCGATTGTGTATGAAAACACTTTATATATTTTTTTTGGATTTGGATTTTTATGTTTATGCACGTTTCGCACTTTTCATGCGTTTCCTTGAGTTTATTCTTGGACGTATCATTATTTAGTCCTATTTGGGCTAAGTTCATATATTTGTTTGCTTGATCTGTTTACACTATTACTTTGGTTGTATGCACAATTATACCATACGATCAGTATTGGTAAATCTGAAATTACTATCTTTTGAGTGGTTCAACATTCACGGTGTACACTTTGGATCCATTTAGGATCAGTTCACTTATTATGGATCCCTGGAGGATCAGGTCACGGTTTATGTTTTTGTTGCACATTGTGTCACGTTTATACACTTTTTCATTTATATGTTTATTTATATAGTGTTAGCAATATTATCATCAGAGTAGCGCTTCACGTATTTTTGTAAACTACACTGTTTATTTTATATATCTGCTTGGAGTTTATCTCCAAATAATAGTCATTATCAGCTTTTAACATCTGGGATGAGCTTTACATGCAACACTATAGTAGGATTAAACAGTTTCCTGTTATCAGCTGAAAGCATTCATCCATGTTGGCCAAAACAGACACAATCAAAAAGCTCTGCAGGCTCTTTGTAAAAGTCATAGCAGAAGAAAACAGATTAGATCAACCTCCTAACCAACCTTCATCCTCCTCCTCATCCTCGCTGGATTCACTGACGTGAACACTGACCACTGTGTTCGGGGAGTCTGTCCATTCAAAGTAAACCCCAAAACCAATGTCAAAATTATCTGTGGCAAACTCCCAGAAGAGGTAGGATCCCTCTTCGTGTGTGGGGACTCTGACTGTCACCACCTCCCCTCGTCCTACAGTGATCACTGAATCTGCGTCCTGACGGATCTTCTCCTTGAAATCTTTAATCTGTGGTCGGGTCCACATGGAAGGAGCGGCTATCACCGGCGTAGTCTCTGCAGAAGGAAATTCCACACAATTTAGCTGCAGACCTCCAATTCACTGGACATCTTTAGAGAATATGCTTGACCATGCATGTGTTTTAATGGTACAGATGCACATTTCATGAAAAAAACTGTTTAGGTGATTTATAGTAACTCAGACTACTAGAATCATCTGGGGAAAAATGGCACCCTATGCTTTAAGCCAGGGCTTGAAATTTCCACTCGCCTGCTCGCCAATTGCCATGCGTCTACGCGTGTATATTTCTGTGTATGTACATTTATCTGTGTGTATGCGTGTCTGTACGTGCCTGTGTGTGTGAATATGTCTGTATGTGTGTGTGTGTACATGTGTGTCTGTGCGTATGTGTGTGTGTGTGTGTGTATGTACATGTCTGTGTGTGTGTACAGGTGTGTCTGTGTGTGTGTTTGTTTTGTTGGTGGCGAGTAACTCTTAAGGCCTGGCTAGTAGCTCAGGACTTGAAATTTTAAGTCCTGCTTTAAGCCACAGGTGCCAAATTGTCGTTGAGAAACTACAAGTCCCATCATGCCTCTGCCTTGGGGAGTCATACTTTCAACTGTCAGTCGTGCAATGTCTCATGGGATTTGTAGTTCCGAAAAAGCTGGAGGGCCGCAGTTTGACACCCCTGCTTTAAGCTATGCAGGTTCCATAGAGTACTACTGACGAAATCAAGTAGGATTGTATAATGTTGTAATTGTGTGCCATCAATGCCTAGTAGGTGCCACTTGGGTGGCTTTCACCATAGGGAGGTACTGATTACAGTGGTAAGCAGACCATGGCTCCCACTCACAATTAATCACAGGTATTTAAAAGGCTATTAAAAGCACACCTAAGAATAAAAAACACACCTGTGTAGCGAATTAGGAGGAATTGCGTGTCTATGGATGCATACTGAACTCCACAGATACATCCCTGGCTATGATTATGTGCGATGGCCCCACAGAAAAAAAACAATAGGTGTATGTACACCTTAATATGTACTTCGTACTTACTCCATTTTGGATAATATATAAGATTTTTGTTAAACTGAATTTTAAAAAAGTGCAAAAAAATTATGTTTATCTTGCCAGACATCCAATACTGTCTTGTGTATTCTGCGGTGTTACTTCATCTCCTCTTTGACCTACAGAACATTTCCACCCATGTTATGGAGATTGGTAAGAGATACAGTACAGTGAATGAATTTTATCACTGTAAAGCAAGAAGTGTTACTGGCAGGATCAGTGGAAGAAAATAAAGGAAAAAAAAGCATAAAAAAATAAAGTTATTGCAGCCACCACATTTAAGGACTGCAATCTTAACTTTTTGTCCTTGAGTTTAGTTGCACTTGAATGATAATCTAAAAAAGTGGTACTATAAAGTGGTAATGTTATTCTGTGATTTGCAAGGGAATTACGGTGTTTTTTTTTTTTTTAATTGTGTGAGTAAACAAAACAGAAAACAAATGAAAAAAACCCACAATTTTTGTTTATATTTCAAAGCAGAACTCAAGAATTCAGTCACTTTTAAAATATACCAGCTTAAACTGGGTTAAGTCCAACAAGGTGTAAGCCACCTTGCGGACATCTCTCTTAATTAACATTTACTGACTATTGCTGTTTTACAACTATTGCTATACTCTTGGCGCTCTGACAGGAGTGATCCAGCTTTCTCACAAAGTAGCCTTGTTACCTGCCCCACCCCTCTGCTGTCCATTCACAGGCGGCTTTGTATTTTGTAAATGGATTCATATAATACATCAAATTCTGTGATTGGGCAATAGAAAATAAGGGCGGGCAGAGCGGCTGCTTGCGTCTGGAGAGACAGAAGGTATAGTGATAATTGTAAATTTTAAGAAAAATGGCATACACCAAATTGGATTTAATCCACTATAAGAAAACTAAATTTTAAAAAGTGATTAAATTCTTCGAGTTCCTTCTTTAAAAAGCTTTGATGTTTTCACTGCTGCCAGTGTTCTCATTGGGGAGACTTCCTGTCCCTATAATGCCTATCACCAGGCAAGCAAAAAATATCAAGGTGGATGTACATACAGAAGTTGCCTGGCTGAGAAATCTGATCTCTCACCTTTTGGCCCATTCTCTAGGATATCATCAAGGGGGTCAGGTTCCAATTCGGTCTCTGTGCCATCTATGTGCGGGTGACTCTGACCATTCACAGAGGGGGATTCTCCGGTTGCCATTGCACTTCCTGAGCTTGCCTTAGTGGGAGAGTTCACTGGAGAACCACTTCCGGCTAATGCCGCCTCCTGTTGTTTCTGTAGTGCAGCCTGCAGAAGAGGATTAGATGACTGAAATTAAAATTAAATGCCACGTACCCATACAAATTTCCTCGCTTACCAACTTCGTATGGGTGAGGTCAATATTTATATTCGGCATCTCCAACCACATGGTACCACTGCCAGTGATAGAGCAGATTTAATTTAAAAGATAAATGCTGTGTTGCCAACACAGGAAAATATTAGGGATACCCTTGTTATTGACAGTCATGTTTAGGGATAAAAAACTGGATTTTTTTCTACATACTTACCTGTAAAATCCATTTCTTGGAGTACATCATGGGACACTGACAGGCTATTAATGACTATGTGGGTTATATGCCACCTATAGGTGAATGGACACTGGCTGATCAGAGAGGAGGTCCTCCCCTATATAACCCCTCCTACATAGGAAGAACTTCAGTTTTTGTAGCAAGCAATGAAATACCAGAAAGATGGGCAGGACCTTGTCCTGTGATGTACTTCAAGAAATGAATTTTACAGGTAAGTATGTAGAAAAAAAAATCCAGTTTTCTTTATCGTACACCACGGGACACAGAGCAGGCTACTCATGACTATGCGGGATGTCCCAAAGCAATAAAGAAATTTGAGGAGGGTGACAACATGATAGCCACCATCAATAATCCCTCAGGACCTACTCAGCTATCCATAAAACACTGCGGGCCAAAGGCAGAATCCTCTGCGGCTCCGACATCCACCTGGTAGAACCTTGTGAATGTGTGAACCCAAAGACCATGTAGTGGGCCTTGCAAACCTGAGCCACTAACACTTGATGGTAGATTGCTTAAAATGCCCTCACACGCCTGGTAGAGTGTGCCTTCATCCAAAAGGGTGGGATTTACCTTGCAAACCATAGGCTTGACAGATCCAATTGACATATCCAATGTTTAAACTGCAAACCTCGTTCCTCAGGGTGCAACGTTTCCCTGGAGGCAGAAATATCTTTGCCTGAACCGTGTCTAGGAACACCCCCAAATACTCCAGGCTCTGTACTGGCTCCAGAGCCGATTTCTTGAAGTTGAGCACCCAGCCCAGCTGTTCCAGGATCTACATCGTAAGGACCACATCCTGCTTCAGACCTGGCACCAACTGACCTCTGAGCAACAGATTGTCTAGATAACCTATGACCGATACCCCCCAAGTTCTGAGCAGCCCAAAAACCGATTACTTAGTCCCCTGCAAAACCAATGCAATGATAGCTGCGATCTTATCCTCTAAGCCCGCTAAGGCTGAAGCAAGATCATCCTTGGTTACTTATGCTGAGGCAGATGCTCCAGTAGTAGCCACAATGCCAGATAAACACAGTGGCTCAGACTGCCCAGTCGCTTCTGGCCTTCCAAGAGAGGATATTACAGCGGCCATTCGGCTAGGTCCCTCATGACCTGGTGGCGGCACATTAATGCCCCTTCCTGCTGTGCCTCCCCTATTCCGCTTTCTGGAAGACATTACTTCAGATACCATAAAAACCTGTGCACCTCCAATAGTAAACACAAACCACAAAATACAACTATGCAAGTAGTGTGCTTAAGAAAAACCTCAATGGAAATTATTGACCTAATGGGCCACCAAAGGCGGCTCGTGACTGACTGGCCAACGCTCCTTCCCCCTCAGAGGAGTACTTACATGCCCCACTGAATAGCCTGCTCTGTGTCCTGGCCACAGGAATTCACCAGAGGCAGCAGCGCATTTGTGTCCAGGCCTCCTGATAAATAAATATGGCTGACTTCTGTTTCCAGTCACTACTGTGCATCCGTGCGCGAACCTCGTGCTCGCACACGCCCGCCGAATACGAGCACGCAGCCGTGTACGCACCTCATGGCCGATGTCCGGCAGCACTCCTAGGAACTAGAATGCTCCTTCTAGTGGCCCCAACAGAAACAGGCAAGCATGTCCCCGACTAAAATGCTGTGAGCACTCCCCCTGGTGGAAACTGTGGCCAAACAATACCTCTCCTTTTCCCTCCAAATTTGATCTTTAAGCGTTTTTTTTTTTTTTTTTTCTTTTTTACAGAGAGAAAAAAAAAAAAAAAAAAAAAAAAAAAAGGCTTGTCAGTCTCGCCACAGGTCCCTGACTTCCGCCAGGCACCATCAACCATCATGGTGGACATTGTCATACGTTCCTTCAGGGACCTGGCCCCCATGGTGGGGCCACTGCCTTGGACCCATATAGCACCCCACTGGAAAGCTCCTTGGTCAGATTTAAAACTGCACAGGGTTCTATCCACGCGGGGTCCAGTGCCGCAAGGCTGCATTACAGGCAAAACCCCAAGGATTCTTCTCCTTATCCAGTTAAGCTCAGGTACCTTCCATTTTGGCTCACAGCTTTCTGAATGGATCCAATTAAAGTCCATGATTCTCGAAGGAACCATACTAGACCTTAGGTATGCTCCTGGAGCACAAGCAACACTTTCAGTGCCATCCACCTTACGTACACTGGCAAAAAACATCAAGTACTTCCTGTGTAGGAGGGGTTATATAAGGGAGGACTTCCTCTCTGATCGGTCGGCCAATGTCTATTCACCTATAGGTAGCATATAACCCACATAGTCATGAATAGCCTGCTCTGTGTCCCGGGATGTACGATAAAGAAAGCACAGATACCAGATGGCCATTAGTAGTATCTCCTTTGTTGAATTGTTACAATAGAGAAGGACTTAACTCTCAGGGATTACTTTATTCTTGATTTACCGGTATTCCCTCTTTGTCAGGCTGACTGTCGGGCCTTCCTTTTTTTCCTTCCTGAGCTCAACATTGAAAAGAGACAGAAAAAAGGTGCTGCCTGGGCATTCTGACACTTAGCTGACAGTAAAGGAAAAAAATTAATAGCACACAGATGATTCCTAACAGGTAGAGCTACACTATTATAACCATAAGACTGAAGATTACCAATGCCCATTCCCGACTAGTCCAATTTAGAGATATACTTGCTGTTGTATTTGTGAAATATGGGACCTGGTGACATACCTGTTGCTGTGCCAGCTGAACTTGGTAGAGCTGTTGCATGTACTGTTGGTAATGCTGTTCTTGCAGTTGTCGGATAAGGATCTGTTGCTGCTCAAAGTTTCCGGGGTACTGCTGTGCTGCGTACTGCTGAAACTGAACAGCTGTCTGTGAGTTCAGAGCTGCCATGATTTGCTGCCTGTGAGGACATAAAGCAAAGTCACTCTTAATGCTCCCAAGCACTTAGTGCCTTTGCATCTGGAGTATTTCACCATCAGAAGGCTATAGCCCTTTTCTCTCTCAGAATGGGCTACACTATGTGTGCTAAAGAGCCAATTTAATTACAATATAGAACATAATCCTTAAAGGCTAATTTCCAGTAAAACTATTTTTTTTGGATAGAGTGGGAAATGTTTAATTGCCATTTGGGTCCCCTGCTTTCAGTCCAGACAAGAAAGGATGGTAAATCTTTCCCACAGGGGAAGAAACAAAGAGGTTTATTAGTAAAGTGAGGAAGGGTCCTTCCTGTTCCTGTGGCAACAGATTCGCCTATTTGCTTCTCAGGTGTTACAAGGACAGGAAGTGAGGGAAAATCCTACCAACAAGGACATAGAATATAAAATCCTGACAGAAATGTGCACCCTTCCACATTCTATCCAAATAAATTGCAAATTTGACTAGGTTTTGGAATAAAGTGACAAAGGGCCTCCGCATACCAGCAGCTGCATTTCACTTGTACTCACCACAAAATCAGAAAACCAGTATATAAACTGTTCTAGTAGCAAACAGAGCCCATGGACAAATACCAGACAAATATCCAATAGTTCTTCAAAATATAGTTACAGTTTAGAGCATTCCCCAATTCATTTCAGTGGCTGCATTATATTTCCTAGCTACTTAGACTGACTAAGGGTTCTTACATAACAACACCAATTCCAAAAAGTTGTAATGCTGTGTAAAATCTACATAAACGGATTTGCAAATAATTGCATCCTGTTTTTGTGTATATTTTACACAGCATCCCAACGTTTTTTGAACTGGGGTTGTACAAACTGACTTTTGCATTTCCTAATTAGAGCCCAACTATGTACTGAGCAGCAAACTGAGCCGCTACACACAGAAACAAAAAATGAAACCTCTCCATGTGTGGATGACTGGGCGTGAACACCATAAAATGAAGAATCGGTTCACTAAAAGTGATATTTAAGTTAAAAGGTACAGTTTTAGGCCTTTTTTCACACAGATATTAAAAAGCAGGAGTTTGAGGCACATTTTTAACTCTCCTCAAACTCCTAGTAAAGCAGTTTGCAATACTATGGACAGCACACAGTGCTGTTCACATTATCAAACATGAAGAGTTTGTGTCGTGTTGCTGCTCTTCAAAAATGAAGCTTCATGTAGATTTTGGATGGAATTGAAGCATCTCAATGTCTTCTACTCAAGTCTATGGTAACACACCATAAACTCACTGGCATGTGTTTGGGGAGGAGTGGTTTTAACTTACCTTTAATGCGTGTTAAACACGACACAAACTCGCATTAACTCTATAGCCACATTTGTTAAGTGTCAGTATATTGAGCAAGTATGAACAAGGCATTAAAAATCGTGCCCTGGTTTTTTGCATCCTGGAAGCCCAAGTAGCTAGATCACCCGGATAACATTCCTGTGTCTATTCCAACTCACCTTGGAGTCCTGAGTGTCCCCACCCGCCATTGTGTGCTCCAACTCCTCCTGTTACATTCTCCTTAACCACTTCAAGTCTGGACACTTTTATCCCCTTCCTGCCCAGGCCAATTTTCAGCTTTCAGTGCTATCACACTTTGAATGACAATTGCGCGGTCATGCAACACTGTACCCATATTAATTTTTTAGCATTTTTTTGTGAGATAAAGCTTTATTTTGGTGGTATTTATTCACCACTGGGATTTAAATTTTTTTTGCTATATAAATGAAAAAGTCCCAAAATTTTGAAAAAAAAAAAAAAAAAGTGTTTTCTTATACAATTTTGCAAATAAATAATATTTCATCATAAATCTTGCCCAAACTTTATTCAGTTATCTTTTTAGTAAAAAAAAAAAAAAAAATAACCCAAATTAGTTTAGAACCCAAAATTATAATTTTTAAAAACTTTTTTACATTTTTATTTTATTTTTTTTATATTTATTTCTATATACTTTCACCCTAGCAGTACAGTGTCACCATGGTGACACTGTACTACTTGTGGGGGGGTGATGAAGATTTTTTTTTTTTTTTTTACACCGATTGCTTTTACACCCATAAAGGCTGTAAAAGCAATAATTTCTCCTCCTTTCTGGCTGCATTCTTGCAGCCATTGAGAACTATTGTGTGAGCCATGATTGGTCACAGCTTGTCACATGGTACAAGGCTGTTGTGAATAGCCTTGTTCCATGTGACCTCTGTGATCATTCACAGATTTCACACGTAGTAAGCAATGATGTCATAAGTGACAAATTGCTTACTACTCTGCATGTGATCACTGATTGGCCAATCAGTGATCACATGATCGGGACCTCGCACAGAGGTCCCATACGACGATCTATTTTCCACGGTGTCCGAAGGTCTAGACTTTGACTGGCCCATTCTAACACATGAATATGCTTTGATCTAAACCATTCCATTGTAGCTCTGGCTGTATGTTTTGGGTCTTTGTCCTGCTGGAAGGTGAACCTCCGCCCCAGGCTCAAGTCTTTTGCAGACTCTAACAGGTTTTCTTCTAAGATTGCCCTGTATTTGGTTCCATCCATTTTCCCATCAACTCTGACCAGCTTCCCTGTCCCTGCTAAACAAAAGCATCCCCACAACATGATGCTGCCGCCGCCACCACCATGTTTCACGGTGGGGATGGTGTGTTCAGGATGATGAACAGCTGTATTTATAATGCGATTAAATGACACACAGGTGGACTATTTACTAATTAGGTGGCTTCTGAAGGCAATTGGTTCCACTAGATTTTAGTTGGGGTATCAGAGTAAAGGGGGGTGAATACAAATGCATGCCACACTTTTCAGATATTTGTAAAAAAGTTTGAAAACCATTTATCTTTTCCTTCCACTTCAAAATTATGTGCCACTTTTTGTTGGTCTATCACATAAAATCCCAATAAAATAAATTTTTGGTTGTAACATAATAAAATGTGGAAAATGTCAAGGGGTACGAATAGTTTTTCAAGGCACTGTATATTGTTAACACTTAAGTAATAACTTCCAAACAAACACCAATTAACTTTACACACACTCTTATGAAGAGCTTTCAGGCAGGATTAACTTAGTTTCTTACTTCTGCTGCTCCATGCGGAATCGCTCATCTTCAGCGCGCATCCTCTCCTCCTCCTCTCTCCGCAATCTCTCCTCTTCCTCCCTTCTCCGCTTCTCCTCTTCTCTAAGCAGACGTTGTCGTTCTTCTTCTTCCCGCCTCCTGCGCTCCTCCTCTTCTCTCCTAAAAGGAAAGATATATTTTAGCTTGGTCAATACCATGGCTGCCTTAGCAAACCATAAAAGAGCAAAGAGTTCTGCAACTTTAGCAATAAGTCAGCAGAACATTTTTTTCTGGGATAAAAAGATTGTATTGACCACTAGCAGGGGGATAAACAATAAAGACAAGGATATTTGTTGTGAAGACTGCTGCCATTTTGGTGGGAGGCTTACCTCTTCCTCTCCTGCTCCTCTTTCTCTATTTTATGTGATGTAACATATGTGGAGAACAGGTGACAACATCGGTTCAGCAGCCCCACAAACTCAGTCATGGCTTCCTGTTTGCTCATATTGCCAAGGGCAGCCCATTCTTTCCTACAGAAACACACATTTGTCAGACACTTATAACAGCTATAAATGGCACAGGGATAATCTAATAGGTAAGCATTGTTTGGTGTATTTGGGTTTTAGCAGTCAAGGTTCTGACCAGTAAAGATTAAACTGTTCCAATGTAGACATGGAAAGTGAATCTTTTAGCCACCTTTAACAGTATGAAGTGGAAAAAACCCTTGTCAGTTTATTTTCTGCTTTTTCCCATTGGGGAATTTCCCTTCACTTGCTGTTCTAAAAATGCAACAGCAAGTTAGGGGAAATTTCACAAAGTGAACAGAAATGTAATGAAATGGCAAAAGGTACCACAAATAAATGAATAAATCCCAAATCCTCAGTCCGTAAAACCGCAGTGTGCTATGCAATGCAAATTGTGGTATTAAAAGTCAGGAAACAGGGAAACCCTTTTCTACTTTATTCACTATGCTGGGCCTTCTACAGATCCAGGCTTCTCCCATCATGGTGATTATACCCCCAATGGGTCTAGGAACCATAGAATAAGTGCACAGCCCTGGATCTGTATAGCACCCTTACTGCACCCGTTACAATTCGTGCCAAGGTGAACACCTCATGCAGGATCCTGTTCCCAAAGCAACCATTACAGGCTGGCCTGAGTGGGGTTCAGGTACAGTCCCCAAGATACACACGAAGTGATACCGATATAGAAAATGCAAGACACCCCAGGGCATTAAGACAGTTAGATTTTGACAGAAGCCCTTCTGAGGCTTACAAAGAAAAATACTTCTTACTTCTCTGGAGAAGAACAGGTACATCACCTAAAGACATTGGCCAAGCACTGGAATCTCACAGACTGGGTAGGAAATAAGAATGTGCGCTAGGGGCGGCCCCCAGCAATTTTTTTTGGCAGTGTTCAGTCACTAGACTATAGTCTGTATATTACCCATGGTTGATAAATACATGTTCAATGTCATGTATTGAATGATTAAGATAAAACAGTTTGAGCTACCAATTCATTATAAGCCCCCAGTGTCCAAGCTGCATTTTGTTACCCATTCTGTGGCCCTCGGTGCCCCGGCACACAATTGTCCGTTTGGCCTTGCTTAGGTGCTAGCTAGGGGCCAGGTAAAAAAGGTTTTTTAGACTAGGTTCTAGTGGTTTAAAGGCTTCTGTTATTTACCACCATCTTACTTTTTTTGTCCTACCCATCCTTTATGATAAATATTATCTTTTATAATGAACCTTGCTGAGAGAACTATTAAATGTAGCAGAGATCATTTCAAAAGGGCTGAAGGGAGCACAAATTGATTTGTAAAGGGCTATAATAACCGTGATCTCTAGCAGCCTCATACACATATAATGTGTCTTCAATCTACGACTACTCACTCTTCAAAAATGCCTATAGAAGGTGTACAGTCTTTGACCATCACTAGGTCACAGGGCTTTTTTTCTCAGAGGAAAGGTGGTGGAACTCCCCCACCCAAACCTGGCCACGCCCCCATCAAACTAGGACCACCCCTTTAGAGAACAGGAATGCAAGTAAAATTTGGGAGGGGCTTCTGTAAATGTATGGAATTAACACCGCCCCCCCCCCCCCACATTAGTAAGAATAGCGAGTAACACTGCCCCCCCCCACATTAGCAAGAAAAGCGAGAAAAATTGTATCGCCGCTCCTTACCTGATGCTGACGATCCGCGCTATGGTAGGATCGACGAGCAGAGGGCGTGATGACGTCAGCGCGCACCGCCGGGTGTACTAAGATACACCTTTCCTATGGGGGTGGCCGCGCGCCCCCGATGTTTACACGCTGGCGGTAGAGGGGGGGGGGTGAAGCTGCATGTCCCCGCTCACCGGCTGTGAGCAGCGGCAGTGACAGGTGCCGGGCACGCGCAAGCATGACATAAACAAGCCGCGTCCGGCACCTGTCACTTTACGCTGCTCTGCATAGCTTGTCAGCTCTGCAGAGGCAGTCGGTGAGCGGGGACAAGAAGAAAAAGGTGGCGGAACGCAGTACCGCCGCGTTCCGGCAGAAAGAAAGCCCTGCTAGGTCATGAATATCACCTGATTTAATTTTTTTTAGATAAAAGGAAATCTGGTACAAAACAATAAAAATATATATATATTTTTAAAATGTAGCTGTATATTTCTTGCTATTAAAATAACCTACCACCAAAAGAACCACCCAAAATAAATTCTGCTCCTGAGAATCGCAGATACTACATATGTGTATGTCATTTGTGACTATATTTTGGTCTGAAAACAATAGTGTGCATTTTTTTTTTCTTTTTAACACATTGATACTCAATGAAATATTGCTTTTTTATGATGATCTCTATGCTTGATGTCAGGGGTTGTTCAACTTGTATTTTTCTTCTCAATAAACCTATTGAACGCAAAAAATAGCTTTTTGTTAATTCAACAGAAAATACACTGACCCAGACCTTTGACGCTAACCTAGTTAAAACCCCCACTTTTTTTTTTTTTTTTTGAAACCATGTATCTTTTTCTCCATTCAAGAGGAGACTATCACAGCAATCAGGTGATCAGGAACCAGGTCACCAATTATTAGTACAAGACCAAGGGCTCTGTGCTGGGAGTGCGCTGTGCAGCGCCCTCTCGGCACAAACACTGTGCGCAGTCCCACAGAAAAAGTCCCATGCTCGTATTTAAGGGGTATAACGCTTTGATCAGATCTTGATATAATCATATAAAATGTATGTACTTGGTGAGCATAACTGTTTTTTTTCCCTAAAAAGGAGAGAAGCAGCACCGTCTAAATGCAGCAATAAAAGCAAATAATTTTTTTCCATAAAATTGGGAACTCACAATAGTGGTAGTCAAATGAGCGCTTGTCAAACTGGTGTCAACCAATGCGCAACTCCTGGCTGGTCCTGCTACAGGCAGGTCTCAACTGCATTCACCTTGGCTGTGCTGGTGGTTCCCAGTACTTCCTGGTCAGAGTGGGTCCACAGAGCAGGCGGGAGTGATGTCAGCTGCAGGTACTGCAGAAGTAGGCCTGGCACACGTTCAGAGCATGCATGCTCCTTTATCAGGTGACCTGATGAAGGGGCATGCATGCACTGAACGCATGTAATGCCTACTGCTGCCCTGTGGACCCACACATCAATATATACCATTCTTCCAGTGGGGTAAGGTTGCAAGATCTGGCAGTTTCATACCAGAGGTATAGGAACAACCAAAAAAGGCAGTTAATAAATAATGAGTAGGCAGTATATGGAAGTAACCAAAACACCAGAGGTAATATCTATCAGACTTGCCTTCTGTCATTGCCAAGGACATCGAAGAAGCCAACTTCAGGGCAAGTGTCGGGGTTGTAAGGCCCCAGGAGAACCTGTTTATGAAGAGCCACCAGCTTCAGTTTCTCTTCATAGGTTGGGTGGAAAGCCTTCCCATCCTTTTCTGTTAAAAGAGAACAAAGTGGTTAACGTGATACAAATATACAGAAAGCCTTTACAGCCTTCCAACCTGCAATTAAAGTTAGCTGGTGTGGACAGACTGTCATTTATTCATGTATGTATATACACAATGAACACCCAGAAGAGAATAGTACTGCACACTAAATTAAAGCTGAACTGTAGCTTTTGTCTCCTGGCTCCATCAATGCAGCGTTATTCTGCTTTCCTTCCTCACTGTGCCTCTAAAGTCCGTTGAATCATATATGTCCAGAGTGAGTGACGTCCTGCATCAAAAAACTCTTTCGTCAGTGATTGGGCTGTCATAGATACAACCCCTGGTCAGCTGGTCTACAGGAAGTAAATATTGTGTTGTCGGCATCATGTGTGGGTGTCACCAATGGCAGTATGCATGCCAACACAGCCCTCCCAGTAATGTCAACTGCACTAATTACACAGGTCTCTGAGCAGGATGCAGATGCAGCTCGCATAGAAACACCATCTGACCTCACTATCAAAGAGCTGTAAAACCAACTGGGGGAAGTGGAGTATTTAAAGCATCCATTTAAAAACCCATTATCAGTTCATGGCAGAAGTAATAGACAACTGAAAGAAGCGGAAGTCAAATCAGGGGTAAGGGGTCACTAAAAAGAGCATGCTCAGAAAAACCACTGCACACAATTACAAACTACGGATAGAATAGACAGTACACAAAACTATCTGTTACACAGGAATAGGAAAACAAGCAAAGGCCCCATCTCCATATCAATGTAGCAGTATATAGGATGTAAACACACTACTGCCCTATGGGACATATTAAAAAAATACTCAAGAGAAATGAGAAACTCCACAAACACTTTGCACAAGAGGCTGTGAGCACAAAACATACAAGTGGCCAAAAGATGTTCAAGCAGCAGTGATGGACAATTGTCATACAGTGGCAAGAAAAAGTGTGGTAACCGTTTGGAATTAACTGGTATCTTGCCATAAAATGTGATCTAATGCTCATCTAAGTCACAGTAGACAAACACAATTTTCTTAAGCCGATATACAAAATTCTAAGTTCTTGTGTCTTCACTGAACACACCCATTGAACAGTAAGGCCTCTTTCACACGGGCGTTCCGTATGCCCGTTTTTCATCTGTCTGTCTACGGATGAAAAACAGGCATCCATGTGATTCTATGGACTAGCGGATGTAAAAGGATTATCATCCATTTACATCTGGTAATGTCCGCATCCGTTAACATCCATTTTTTTGAAAGGAAGAAAACCCTATTTTTCTTCTATGAAAAACCTCGCAACGGCCAAAAAACAGAAGTCAATGGATTGTATGCAGCCCGACAGGTCAGGAAAGGGGGGGGGGGGGGGGGGTGGCAGTCGAGCGAGCGCCAGTGGAGTCAGTGGTTTGCATGCCTGGAGTCCAGTTAAAGCAGTATTAAACCCCAAAGCAAACATTATATTGCAGCTTACCAATTCTTAGATGTGATCGCTGCATTCATTTTCTTTTTTAGGCTTTCTTATATCTAATTTCATCTGGCGATCTGGCCAGTAAGTCTTTTTTTCAAAAGAACAAGCTCTTTTCCATAAATCTCAATTTACAGGGATGAGAAAACTCTGGCAGAGGTGCTTACAATGAGCTTTTTTTCTTTTAAAACATTTATTCCAAAAGGAAAAAAATGTTTGCTGTAACTGTATATAAAGCCTGAGCTGGAGTTTGGCTACAATTTGTTAGTGTATTTAAATCAGCTGGTACATTTAACACTACCCTCCCCCCACCACCCCTCCACACTGACAATGCTGCTGTGCCTGTGTGCTCATTCATTCAAAGTGGAGATACTCTGAAACAGGAGGTAAGTTGCTGGCTTGACCACAAGGTGAAAACTGAGGGAAAACCAAAAAAAACAAAAACAAACGCAGCCACCATATCTGAGGATTGGTAAGCTGCAATATATTAAATTTTTGGTTTAATACCACTTTAATGAAAGGAGCCTGAATGTGTGGTTTAGAGCTACTTTGATTGATAAGACACTCAAACATTTTAAGGTTGCTGTTCATAAGAAACATCAGCCAATATGAACCATGCCTAGCAAAAAGGAGCTTTCTGAAGACATATGATCACGAGTAGTTGACCTGCAAAAGGCTGGAAAGGGATACAAAGCAATCTCAAAATGTTTAGGCATCCATCAGTCGACGGTCAGACAGATGATCTATATATGGAGACAGTTTAGTACTGTGGCTACTCTTCCTAGAGTTGGCACCCAACCAAGATGACTCCCAAATCACAACACAGAATCCTCAATGAGGTAAGGAAGAACCCAAGAGTAACAGCTAAAGGCTTGATGACTGAAAGTCTGATCCAGAGTTACCGAAAACACTTGCTGCCAAAAAAGGGTTTGACCAACCAATAACTCCAGGGGTTCACTTACTTTTTCCTCCAGCACTGAATGTTTAATGTGTGTGCCCAATAAAGAGACACAAGGAATTAGAATTGTTTGTATGTGATCAAATTAAAGCGGAACTACACTGTACCTGAGCACCACAAACCAAAAGAGCTATTTAACCGATTTTTATTATTCAAAGCAAACTCACCCATCCACCAATGTCTCCATGCTTTTTTTTGCTGAGAAATCACTTTGTTCCACCCAAAAGTGGAAGTTCCGCTTTACAGATTGGTTGGTCCCCCGCTCCCCACTAAAGGACTGTCACCTTTGGGGAGCGGAGGGTGGAACGGGTACCCGAATTTGACAGGTACCCACTCCCACTGCAATAACCTAGGCGATCGGAAACAGAAGTTGTCCTCCTACCCTTCCTCCCCGAAGTCTTGTGAAACACGTGACAGGTCCCAGAAGACGACGCGGCCATTCAGGAAATGCAGCGCTACTCGTGCAGTGGGCAGCCGGCTGTGATGCCGCAAGTTGACACAGCCGAGTGCTCACACTGAAGATTCCGGCCTCCAGGAATACAGGACGGACTGTGAAATGGGCTGCGACATGGGCAACGTGGGTTCGTAGGACAGGACAGGTGAGTGAGTGGCTGTTTTTTTTTTTTTTAAAAGTCAGCAGCTACAGTTTTTGTAGATCAATAACACAATCATCAATCCCTCCCCTCATGCCAGGGTACTAGGTGTAATCCTAGACTCCCATCTGTCCTTTCAGCCCCAAATCCAATCGCTGTCCAAATATTGTAGACTTCACCTCCGCAACATCTCCAAGATACGGTCGTTCTTAACAAGGGAGTGATTAAGTTGCTTAGTGGTTTCCGAGGTTATCTCTCGCCTTGACTATTGTAACTCCCTCCTCATTGGCCTACCTCATTGCAGGCTATCCCCTCTTCAGTCTATCATGAATGTTGCTGCCAGACTCATCCACCTTACTAACCGTTCTGTATCTGCCACCCCTCTCTGCCAATCCCTCCACTGGCTTCCCATTGCACAACAAATAAAATTCAAAACATTAATAATAACGTATAAAGCCATTTATAACTCTGCCCCAAATTACATCACCGATCTTGTCTCTAATATCACCCAAACCATACTCTCCGCTCCTCGCAAGACCTCCTACTCTCTAGCTCCCTTGTCTTCTCCTCTTACGCTCATCTCCAGGACTCCTCCAGAGCTCCCACCATCCTCTGGAACTCTCTACCCAAATTTATCAGACTATCGCCTACTCTGCTCACTTTTAGGCAATCTCTGAACACCTTTCTCTTCAGGGAAGCCTATCCTGCCCTCAGCTAATAATGGAACCTTCTACCCTTCTAACCAGTCCATCCCCCACAGTTACTACCTTTTGTACCACTAGCCCCTCCCTCCTAGATTGTAAACTCCAAGGAGCAGGGCCCTCCTATCCCTCTTGTATTGAACTGTATTGTTGCTGTATTGTCTCCCGTTATATTGTAAAGCGCTCAGCAAACTGTTGGTGCTATATAAATCCTGTATAATAATAATAATAATAGCTGCTGACTTATTATTTTAGAGTGAGTGGAACTCCACTTTAAGCACTGAGGTCAGCACGATACACGTGAACCTTGTTTTTTACCCCACTGGCATACAGTCTGGTGTTTTTAAGCTGCTTTTCTATACAATAAAGTGGATATGTGCTTTAGTGCAGGCTCCCGGACTTTCCTTTGATCTAAAGCACACTGGCCAGCGCACATGCTGAAGGGTTGTGGAGTGTGGAAGTGGTGAGCCTACCTGGAGCAGTGCTACCTTCTCTTTGTTCACTTAAGCTTTGACAAAAAAAAAACAAAAAAAAAACTAGAATCGGATTGGTTTCTATGCAGAGTTGCTCCACAGTTTGCACTCACCCCCAGTGAGTTTGTCTACTGATGAGAATGAGATCATATTCCTTCGCAAATGACTGCAGAAAACGTGTTCATTCCAAGGGGTTGACATACTTTTTCCTGCCACTGTATCTAGATTTCCTTTGTAGAACTGGCACTTCACTTGTTGCCTGGTATTGAACTTTCATAGCAGGACAGAAGGAGGAGTCAAGGAAACAATTCCTATCTTTAGAATGACCTTCACCCTTCCGCTGGGGATGCCGAGTAGTATTGCCTTTCCTATGAATTTAATTAATGCAGCCAATAATAAAATGACTTCTCTCTGTCTGCTGAAATTAGCCTGATCCCCCTGGCATTTTATCATTCCTGCAGTTCATGCCATCAGCTGCTCAGTGCAATTACACAGAAAAGTACGAAGATCCCTGAAAGATGAAACCCCACAGCTGCAGGAGTCGTGGTTGGGATACACCGAATGCACACAGCATGCCTACTGCACTGCAGACATTCAACGGTTATCCAGACCATTGCAAACCATATCAGACATAGACAGGGAGACTGTGCTTAAAGTGTAACTAAACCCACAACAGTAACATCAGTCTGTAGATGCAGTAAAGCATGCTTGTTATACTCACTGTGGAACCTAAGGGGTTAATCCTCTGCATTGCATAAAAAGGCTGTTTGTTCCAAAATTCTCTGATCCTTCCCTTCTTTCAGTAATCCCCTTTGAT